TTGTTGTTGTTGTAACTGTTGCTCTTGTTGTAGCTGCTGCACCTGTTGTTGCTGGTGTAGCGGATGCTCTTGCTGTTGATGCTGCTGCAAAATATATAAAGAAACAATGCATCATTCAATTATACAATATTTTCACTTATGAAATCTTTCTATTTAAAAATTTCTCTACCGTATTAAGAATCAAAGAAGATGCTTCCAACTTCCGAATTATTCGACCTTTTGCCATAATATTAACCCACTATTCGGTCAAGTTGTAATATAGAACTGCTGGACATCATTAGATTGAAAATGCAGATCACAAACGTACTGTTTTATTTTAAATCTGTTGACAGTCATTCACTTCACATACTATTACCATATTTAAATTATTTTCGAAACTTTCTATTTACCATTTATAAAAACAAATTGTAATAATTATTGACTTGACTTCTAGTTTTTAGGTTTAGTATACCTCCCCGCTCCCCAATATATCTACTAAACTCCATATAAATAAAATAAAATTGGTTATTTGCTTACTTCACTCGTATTTATGAAACTACATTCATTTGGGTCATATGGAACACTAGCGCCACCCCAACTTCTGCCATTTCTTGGACAAATTTTGTCAATTTTCCCGTATGAGTTCGTGCTCCTTATCTAGTCTCCATGTACACGAAATAGGACAGATTTAACTACTGACTGTAGGATTAAAATTAACACCGTTTCAGAAGCAAAATTAGAATTATTAAAATTACAGCAAGAAAGTGTAAAAGTTGATATTGAATTTAAAAAAAAACAAATGCAGCAATCCAATGAAATCCATGAACTGAAAGTACAGCAAATAAAGTTGGAAATGTCGAAGCTGAAACAATTATAACGCAGTGTGTTCCTTTCATTTTTCTACAAATATGTAACTTTTTTATTAACAATGCAATGAAAAAATGGTTTAATACTATTTCCAGCAAAAGCAGAACTTTATAAAAAAATACCTGTTTTTCATCGTCAATAAAAATATTACCCATTTGTAGTGAACTAAAATGACATACTGTAATGTACAGAATGTGTTTACACCCTATATATTTTTTTTTTCGTATGGTTTAGACCAAGTAAATTTAATTTATAATTTTGTGGAATGGAATTTACTTATAAGTTAATAAATATGTTATATACAAAAAAATTGTATTTCTAAATAAAAAATTTAATCTGACATTCTTTTTGTATATTTTTTAATTAGATATTAATGAAAATAACATCTATTGCACTGACTACATGACTCGACTGGCGCTGAATTACATTCTCAATATTTGACCCATATATTTCTTATTAGCTCCTACTGTGGTGTTAAATCCTTACACCATTGCTCCTACATAGTTTTTTACTTTTTATAAAGGTATTCAGCCAATTCATATCAATTTTTCTACATTTAACATCAATGAAGTTCTATTATGGTCTTTGACACCAAATACATGGGCATGCAAAAGAAACGTTGTTGAATATTGAATACAACTTTATATATGAAGGTTTCTTTTGCATGTCCAGGTGTTTGGTATCAGAGCATAATATAACTTCATTGATGTTAAATGTAGGAAAATTGATATGAATTGGCTAAATACCTTTATAAAAAGTAAAAAAATTGACACTTTATTTTAAATAGATAATATAAAATGTTTATATGACAGAAAATTATCTATAAGTTGGTTTAATTAATACCTGGGACAAAGTTTATTTTTACAGAGAAAAATGAAAACTCAACTTACTAAATTTATTTATTCATTATCAGCATAATATGCATTATAACATAAGCATATACTTATAACAATGTGGAAAAATACTGAATTAAATTTTGTCTAACTGCTGCTCCAGTATTATTAGCGGGTTGAAAGATTTCTTCATCTGCATTAGGACCTTCGTCATCATCTACAGTAATTTCTTCCTCAGGTTCCTCGTCCCTCATATCTATGGCAATATTGTTTAATACTGCAGTGGCTACAATTATTGTTTGGATTGTTTCCATTTTCAACCGCATCTCCAAGCGTAATATGGGAAATCTTCTCTTCCACATTCCATACGACCTCTCCACTACATTTCTTGTACGAATGTGAGACTCATTGTACAGATTTTCTTCTGGAAGAATTGGATTATGTAATGGTGTCATCAAATATTTTCTTAAGGCATAACCGGAATCTCCCAAAAGTAAACCATCTGTAAATCTTCCCTCTTCAAATTGTGCTTTTAATCTTGAGTTATTGAAAATTGTACTGTCATGACTAGCACCAGGCCAGCGTGCTACTACNAAGGGTCGTCACAAATTTGGTGCCCGATAAGGTACGTCAGTGACGGTTGCAATTAATAGTTTAAAACCGAAAATTTTCTGATTGATCAGTTAGTAGTCAGCCGAAAACGAACGTCAAGAGCAGTTGTTTTCTTTTTTTATTTAAATAGCATTAGGGACTGTTAGTCTCTTTAGGGCTGTTAGTTTATATAAAATTAAGAACATTATTTCTTTTATTTAAAAGAAGTTTAGGTAGTGTTGCTTTCTTGAGTAAAAGTAGAGACAATAATTTGCTTTTGCTTTAATAAAAGACCATTATTTTCCGATAAAGTATAAATTAAAGGAATTTGTTTATATATCGTTTAAAAGGCTTGTTACTTTTCAGATATTGAAAGACAAAAATTAATATGTTCCTAAACGAGCTAAATCTGGTTAGAGCAAATTTCTCTGTTCTTAGTAATGTTAGGAAAAGACGGACCTAAGTTTGAAACTTTTAATAATGGTCCCCGATTTATTGGGTCATATTTTAGTAAAATCTAAAATATCCCCTTAAATAGGATGAAATGGTGATGATAAGGTAAACTTATATAATGAAAAGTAACAATTTGTAAATACTTTGAGAAAACATTTTAAAATAATAAAATATAATGACGTTCTTAGGCCCGGTTGTACAATATCTGTATAAATGTACCCGACAACTATCCGGCCGATATAGTTGTCAGGGGGATAAGTGTACGAACCGTATTACAAACCGTATTTGTCCGTAGGTTTATTATCGGTGATATAAAACTAAGTTGGTAATAATGGTATGTCATCGCCGTCAGCTGTTGTTGATATTTTATTTGTATAATTATTAAGGTTAGAAGATTTGTGTGTATTATACTATTAATTAAAACAAGTTACAAATAATGTTGAATTTGTATGAAACTAGTAGCAGTAGTGATGAGGAAAATGATCTGCTAGCTAATATATTTCAAAATAGACGAAAAGAAAAGCGTATTAGAGAACGAGTAAACCACATGGAATATTGGGATGAAGAGGAATTTTTTATACGTTTTCGTCTTACAAAGGATAGTGTCAGGCAACTATTAGATATTATTGTGGAAACATTAGAAACCGCTACAAACCGGTAAGTTAAATAATTTTTGAGAATTTAAGGGATGTTAGTATATTCAAAACATTTTGTGTTTCATTTTTTATATTACAGAAATGCAGCTATTACACCCATTACTCAGTTGTTGCTGGCACTGAGGTACTATGCCACGGGAAGTATGCTCATTGTTGTAGGAGATTTTTGTGGTGTACACAAATCAACTGCAAGCAGAATGGTAAAGAAAGTTTCCGAAGCAATTGCCAGCCTTAGGAATCGATTTATTAACTTTCCACAAGATCCACATGAAATTGATAGGATTTGCACAAAATTTTATGAAATTGCACGATTTCCTAGAGTTATAGGGACAATTGACTGCACCCATATTAAAATTCAGTCGCCGGGTATGGGTTTACTTTATTATTATTATATGTTCAATTTATTAGTAACCGTAAATTTGTAGGTGGAGATCAAGCAGAGAATTTTCGTAATAGGAAAGGGTATTATTCTTTTAATGTCCAAACTATTTGTGATGGTAATTTATGCATACGGGATATAGTTGCGCGGTGGCCTGGCTCGAGCCATGATCAAACTATTTTTAATGCATCTTCAATCAAGGCAAAATTTGATCGAGGTGATATGCAAAATAAGGTATTACTCGGTGATAGCGGTTACGGTTTATCACGATATTTAATTACACCTTTGCCAAACCCTATACTGCCACAAGAAATATTATTTCAAGAAGCATTACTTCGGACAAGATATGTTGTTGAGAGAAGCTATGGTGTATGGAAGCGAAGATTTCCTATACTTTCATTGGGAATTAAATTAGATTATACACGGGTACAAGCTGTAATTGTAGCATGTGCTGTATTACATAATATAGCCGTTTTAAATGGCGAAAATGAACCACCGTTAGACCGCGCTATTCGAGACAATTTTTTACAAGGTATACAAGAAGCAAATATTCCCAATGGTCTCGGTAATGAAATAAATGAAAATGGTGCTAATTATGTAACACGTGCAGATTTGATTGAATATTTTTCAACACTTATAAATAATTCAAATTTGTTTCTTTATTAATTTGGGATTTATGCTACCTGCAAATATATAGAAAAAAGAAACCGAATGTATTTCAAATATTGTACAAGTCTAGTATCAAGGCAAACTCTTTTTGAGTTTGCTCCCAAAAAAAAACAATGTATAAAATGTAATGAATATATGTATTAATAAACTTTGCTGAAATATATCACTGGTTTTTTAGTTTTCAACAAATTAATTATATACACCACCCACCCACTTTATATCACTTGATACTAAGTAGCAATTTGAAATATAAGTAAGTTTTAGTTGTATTATAATTTGCAAGTTTTTTATTGATATTTATAAGTGTAGTTGGATTAGGTTATTCAAAAGGAGAAAAAAATTCATGAGCCACAAATAGAGTACAGAGAATAAGTAATTACTATTTTAGTCGATAAAGACATTAATTTCATCAGTAAGAAATTTAAAACAAATTACCAAACATTTTACAAAAGGTATGTGACCAATTACACCTTTAAAATGAAATATATATTGAAGACAGTAAGTTGATTAATTAAACTAATTAAAAAATATATAAAAAGACAACATATTATTTTTGCATATTTTTTATTTCTAGCTTCAGTTTTTCTATTACTAATTCATTAATTTGAATTTGTTGATGATTCAGCTGTAACTGCTGCTCATGTAGCTTGCGTTCTCTTTCTTGCTTCATATCAAATTCCTCCTGGATAAGTTTCAGTTTTAAATTGGTTAATTCTGTCTTTGCCTCGACCCAAGGTTGCATTCTTTGACCAGCTGCTGATATACTGACATTATCATTTAATTTCATCCTCTTTGGAGTTCGCAGGGCAGAGTGCTTTGGTCTCTTTAACTGAGCTGGACAATAACTGCTCCAATTATTTACTGGAATGTAAACAAATGTTATGAAATAAAATTATATCAACTGCTTTGTGTATGTTACATCATTCTTTTTTATAAAGCAAAAACTACCTTCGGCACTGCTTTGTTCAGTATTTACCTCGACAACAGGAAGAGCTTTTGGACTAGCTTCAGCATCTGTACCTATAATAAAAGATGAAAATTATTAAAAATAAACAAAGGATTTTAATAGTACAATACATGTGAAGCTTACGAAATAAAACATACCAGATATGTTTGCATGTTCCAGTGTTCTGAGTGGCTGTTGCAATTGTAGGTCAGGGCTCTTCGGTCTTTCTATATGAGCCACAGAATGGTTACTGACATTATTGTCTTCTAAAATAGGTAATATACAAATATTGTTGGAATGTTAAAAATATAGTAAATAAATACTGTTCAATGTATCCCAAAAGTATTACAATTTATTTATTTACCTATATAATCACTGTCAAAATGAGAAGGTGTACCATCAGCACTTAATTTTATTATTGCTCTAATTTTCTCATATAGTGGATTAAATTTGTATTCACAGGGACCTCCACCTGTGCCCAATATTTCAGTTCGGCTTTTGGCTACAGCTCTTCTTGTTTCTTTTTTTAATGTCGTATTTACTGCGAAGTTGTTCCCATGTTCGGATTTGAGTACCAACTGAATTAATCTCAATACACACATTTTTCCAAGCAGTTGTCTAAATTAACAAGAACCATATATTTATATTAACTATATAGGGTCAAATAAAAAACCTACCTTGTCTATCCACGTCAATGCATCAGTTTTTTTATTTTCTATTAGATGCACATACCTTTCAACAATTTCAACAAGTCGCCAACATTCTTCCTTCGTATAATTATCTGTGCGCTTATTATTATTTTCTTTTTTAATTTAAAAAATTTAAAGTAACTGACAAATACAAAGGTCAACACGTGAATGACAAAATGAAGTTAAAATGTCAAAACTAAAGTCTAGTTTCCCGCTTCCCCAGTTATTTGGCGCGTTTATCTTGCCGACAACGGACTATCAGCGGCTTCGAGTACCCGACAGATTATCCCGCCGATAATGTGCCCAACAAAAATATCCGTATATTGTAATACGCCAAAAGTGGACTTGTCGGCAAGATAACTGTATCGGGTAGTATATCGGCATATTGTACAACAAGCCATTATAGATAAGCTTCCTTTTGAACTACATATTCCAGGCTATAATTTTTATGGACCCGGTACAAAACTAGAAAAAAGGGTTGCTAGGGGTAATAAACCGATAAAGGACCACTCACAAATCAAACGGAAATTGGCTTTCGGTGAAATCTTCCGGATTTTTTATATGTTGTTCCTTTTGATGTCCAGATCAAAAGTCTCCACGGGCACGAAGCTCGAAAATCTTCCCTGCGAGCAGTACCCAGCTTGGAAGGTTAGAGACCGGTAATCCCCGATTTTCGCTGATTTTACCTCTACCCTTGGATTTTCGGGATATATATACAGGGTTCGTAGCGGCTGGGAAAACTGGGAATACCGAGAAAAGTCAGAGAATTTGTTACCCTTCATAAAAAAAAACAGGGAATAGTCAAGGAATTTTAAAAATATTCATGAAAGTCAGCGAATTTGATGTTTGCAACTGGAAATTTTGTCAAAGCCGGCCCTGGGTTCTTGAAAGAGAAAACTATTTGTGGTTTTGAAACCTTTATAAGAGGTTGTTAGGGTATAAAAAAGATTATGGAGTCGTCGAGAAAAAATTTAATGCATAAACACCAATTAGTATGTAAAAATGAACTACAAGTGACCTGGATTTTTTTTTATAAGTCGGGGAAAACCTGGAGAAGTCAGGGAATTCTTTATTACTTCTGAACTATGAACCCTAATATATATCTTCATATAAATCCTGAAAATGTAAGGGTAGAGGTAAAATCAGCGAAAATCGGGGATTACCGGTCTCTAACCTTCCAAGCTGGGTACTGCTCGCAGGGAAGATTTTCGAGCTTCGTGCCCGTGGAGACTTTTGATCTGGACACCGAAAGGAACAACATATAAAAAATTCGGAAGATTTCACCGAAAGCCAATTTCCGTTTGATTTGTGAGGGGTCCTTTGCTTGATGCTGCATGTTTTTCTCACGACAAAATTTACCAGTTATAAAGATTTAAAACATAGACACAAAGCACATAAAAAATTAGCCGAAAAGGCATTTGAGCGTTTTAAAGCCTCCGACTCATCACTTGGAGAAAAAATAGCTTCGTTAGGTTAGGTTAGGTTAGGTAACAGCCGCAATGAAAGCAAAAACCAAATTAGGAATGGGGCTGAAAAAAATCGTTAAACGTAAAAGAGGCCGTGGGTTAAGGCGTAACGTTCTTAGTTTCACTCAAGCAGTACATAGAGCAAGAAGGGGCATTATAAATAAACCTTCTAGTAATATTATTGATATGACGAAGCAGGCTCTCTCTTCGATATGAACAAAAAAAAATAACTAAACCAAAAAGGCGTATTATACCAATTCCTAAAACAGAAGGATTCCTTCCTCTTATTCCCTTATTTGCTGCTTTAGACGCACTCGGGAGCATAGGAGGAGGGGCTGCAGGGATAGCAAAAGCTGTGAATGTTGCAAAAGCGGCCAAAGAAAAGTTGGAAGAAGATAAACGTCACAATTTGGCAATGGAACGCATTGCTGTTGGAAAAGGGTTATACCTACGACCGTATAGAAAAGGAATGGGCTTGTATCTAGCTCCATATAAAAAAACTTTCAGTGAAGCTACCTCGCCATGCGTTAACTAACATAGAATTAATAAAGTTCGCTAAAAAAATACGTATCCCGAATTTTAGGGGTGTTTATGAGAGACAAACTTCCATTAAAAATAAAAAGAAACGAATGTGGTATTGTGAACATGGATAATTCGTCAGGACCGGGCACTCACTGGACAGCATACGTAAAAAAAATAATATCATTATATACTTTGACAGTTATGGAAATTTGAAGCCTCCAAATGCACTGATAAAGTATATTAATAGCGATGGTAGCAAAAATACATTCAAATATAATCACGATAAAATGCAAAATGATAATTCCATTAGATGTGGACACTTATGTTTACAGTTTTTATATAGTACTGTTGTTAAATAAAATTTTTATTATATAGATATCTTTTAACTGAATAACATGTCTTTGACCTTTTGTCTTTCGGGAAATTCGTCTATATTAAATTCCGATTTCAATCTTCCTATCCATTTAGCACAAGAAGCGGAATATGTTATCGGTCTGTCTAACTTTGAGACTTTTAATGTTATCCCCAACATTGATGAAACAAACAACAAATTTTCTTATGCTAATCGAACCATGACAATTCCTACAGGAGCATATGAAATAAATGATATATATATGATATGATAATGATATATATATGATATTCAAAAGAACATTGATAAATCTACACAAATCAATATAATACCTGACTGTAATACATCAACTGTTAGAATTGAAGCGAATGTCGACATTGATTTTAGTTATGATAAATGCATAGGTCGTCTCCTTGGGTTTAAAAAGAGAATTCTTAAAGCTAATGTTACAAATGAATCTGACTTCCCTGTGCAGATAATTAAGGTTAATGCTTTATGTATAGATTGCAATTTAGCAATAGGTTCATATTCGAACGGTCAACCTGTTCACATAATTCATCAGTTCTTTCCAACCGCCGCGCCAGGATATAAAATAGTGGAATCACCCCTGAACATCTTGTATTTTCCCGTAACCGTCAAGACAATCAACAACTTGACTGTGAAAATTCTAGATCAGACGGAAATTTAGTAAATTTTCATGAAGAGACTATTACAGTTAGACTTCACCTTAAGAAAAATTAAAATGGTTGTACGTCATAATATTCCTAGTATGCTGATCAGACGTAATTATAAAAGGATGCCCAAAACCAGATCTTCAATTAGTGCAGATAAGAACGTTACCACAGTAACATCTAAGAATAAAAAATTTCTACAATCCCTTGATTTCCAATGACTAATATAATGGATATTTTAAATGTGATATCAAAGCCCTATGTTGACAACTCAATAACAAACCTTGAATTACACAGTTATCAGCCATCTGTGTCCGGATCATTTGAATATAATGATGAAATCAGAATTCCTATTCAAGAAGTAGACCTGTATAGACTGCCTGGTGAGTCATTTATATATCGAAGGAAAATTAACAAAAGACGATGGAACTAAAGCAACAAAATTAAAATTTATTAATAATGGTATCGCTTTCTTGTTCAGAGAAATTCGATATGAATTAAACGGCGTCACGATCGACACCAACAGAATCGTAGGATTAACATCAACACTTAAAGCTTACCTCTCATATAGCGATAATGAATAATGCTGGATGGTCTCCAAGAGTACATAAAGGCGGAGAAAAAATTACAGACGATGATGGAAATTTCAACGTTTGTATTCCACTTAGCGTTTTAATGTTTTTTTTTGAAGACTATACAAAAATTATTATTAATATGAAACAAGAGCTAGTTTTGATACGTTCTAGTAACGACTTGGAAGCTATTACCAGTAAAGATGATACTGAAAAATCTAAAATTACAATTAATAAAAATTTTTGGAGGGTTCCATATGTTTCGGTTAACATTCCACAACAACTGGCACTCACAAAAATAGTAGAGAAAAATACAGATATTATTCTTGGTTTTCGCTCTTGGGAACTGATTGAATATCCATCTTTAAGTGAGACGACCCAATACTCATGGTCCGTAAAAACTAGTAATAAGCTTGAAACACCCAGACATGTAATCGTCGCATTTCAGCATGATAAAAAACAAAAAAATTACAAGTGATATGAGTTGGTTTGATAATATTGATTTAACTAATATTCGAGTATTTTTAAATAGTGAAAGATATCCGTATCAAGATCTTTATTTAAACCTTAAGGCTAAAAGGTTTGCTTCTCTATATGAGATGTTTTCAAATTTTCGTCAGTCTTACTATGAGACAAAAAAAGAACCTGTTTATACACCTGAAGAATTTTTAACTATTTGTCCGATTGTACATATAGATTGTTCTCGACAAAGGGAATCTGTCCAAAGTGGATCTGTTGTTATGCGGATTGAATTTGAGACAAGCAAAAACGTATCAAAGGACACTACAGCATACTGTTTAATTTTACATGATAAATTGTTTAGCTATAATCCTCTAACTAAAATTGTTCATCAACTATAAAGTACGCATGAGCTGTTTTCTTAATATTAATATCAAAACTCATAACAAAGTACCCAGTATGATGAGTACACTGCAGCAGCGAATTACAAAGCACCAGAAGAACCTTAAAGAGTTGAAATATTTAATAAAACTTTATTGTCCGAAGCAGCAAATGATAAAAGAGTTTGAAATCTCCGTCTATAAAAATGATATTGGTATTAGATGTACAAGGCTTTCGGCTAGAAAACAACAGATTTCTTCCCAAAGAGCTTGCCGGTTTCGATGGATCAAAGATTTTTCATTTCGTATTTAAACCACCGTTTGATATGGAGCTGTTACCACCAGAAGCGCACCTTCAAAATACATTGCTAATTGATAGTCACCACTGCATTGAGTGGAGTACAGGTTTTACACCTGTCCACAATATGAAAAATATTATAACACATTTAACTAATAAATACGATACAATTTACGTGAAAGGGCGAGAGCAGTTTTTATACCTGAAACAATTCATATCCAAGCCTATTGTGGAGTTAGAAGAGCATCCTGCGTTGTCTGCTACAGAGCCAAAATGTTTATTTCATACTAAAGATAATTGTTATTGCGCATTAGCAAACGTATATTTTATTTATGAAAATATTATGATGTCATAGACTTTTAATAAAAACTTAAATATTCATTATATTTTTATTTGTATATAACCCAACACTTATTAATCAGTTCAATTTTATGAATTAATTAGGTCGCGACTAGTTTTAACAAGTCAGTAAAAACCGGCTGTATGACATTGCCATAAATAGAAACGCTTATTGATCGTGATTTATCGCTTTGACAAGTTCATAAAACCGGTTGTACCATATGTTCACGATCCATGAGCCGGTTTATGTCGACCGGTAGTGGGGAACGTTGGTGGAGTGGTGGCTACAGCTATAAGACTCGCATTAAAATTTAAGTGCCATTACTATGCGCAGAGACGTTATACCAGTCAAAATAAAACAGTGTTATGTGTGTCGCAAAGTAATAAATAGACGATATATCCAGGGTAACTTTTTGGTTATTTAAACATAGTGATAGTTAGTTGTGCAATCAACCAAAAGCAGTACAGTTTTTAATGCTAATGGCTTATGTGAAAGAAATGGAAAAAAAAAGAATTCGAAAGTGGCGTTCGAAATTTACATCAGACTTTCTCAAATCTCAAGTTTGATACAGCTCACGAAGCAGGCTATGGAACGGGGAATTATTTTTCTCCAGAATACTGTGAAAAAATAGGTGAGGAGTATGGGGAGGCGGTAGAATTATGTGAGGATTATTTAGAAGAACGTTGTACCATAGATGATCTTGTCACTGGTCTTATAGATTTAGGCATGATGGGGATGCTTCATAAAATTAAACATTTACTGGATGGCCATCTAGCGAATAAAATTCCTGAATGTGAATGGGAATCTGATGACCAAGAGGAAAGCGATGTAGAAATGACACCAATAAGCTAGTATTAATATAATGTTTAATAAATGGTTATTATAAAATAGTTTTATTATTCCATATAAATTATTTATATACCACCAAAATTAATCAGTATGTCTATAGAAACAACAATGAACGCTTCGCAATTAATAGTTCTTTTAAAAAGTTCGCTAATTATACAGCGACCTTATAATTCAAAAGAGGTGTTTATTTGCTTTGATTATAACGGAACGCGTAATGACAGCTGGCCCATTAATTGGAAAAGAATGAAACCTTAGCTGTTTTCTCGCGAGCAGAATATTTCAAAACGTCTTCAAAACTGGTTTAAAATAATTTCAATGTGACGTCAAAATTTCATAGCGCAAGAAAATAGGATTTTCAAACCATTTGGAACTGTCAAGATTGAAAATCTGTGTATCGTAAACTCACTTTATACTTGTTATAAAATTCGGTCGAATTATTCTGTTTGAATTATTTCTAAGCAGCAGCTTTGTGAAATGTGACTGCCAAATTATTTGAATTATGATTTTTTTCAACTCTTCAGAATGAGCAGAAAAGCTTTCCAGAAATTGAATGGAAAGATTAGAGTTATACATGTTTCATATATAGGGGGAGGCATACCTATACCTGCAGAAAAGAGGTTGATAATGCTGTTATGGTGGTTGGGCAAAGGTGAGACACTTTTATCAGTTTCTGATAAATTTAACGTTGCTTTGTCAGCCGTTCACAAAAGTAACACTCTTTTGTTGGATGAAATTATTGGTTTACAGCATAACTACATTACCTGGCCAAATCATAATGAAATAGAGACTCTTACAAATAAGTTTTATCGAAGAGGTAATATACCAGGTTAGTATGTAGATACTAGGGAAAGCAGTGGTCTTAAAGACGTACATACCAGAACGTTTAGTAAATTCTGTAAAAAATTTAGTAATCTATCATTGGATATCTTTATCTTCTTGTTGTTAATTTGATATTCTATATGATGTGAATTTAATTTTTAGGAGTGGTCGGGGCAATAGATGTAGCTAACATAAACTTTAAAGCGCCGACGGAGCAGCAAGAGAGCTATATTGATAGAAAAATGCAGCACAGTATTAAGTTGCAGGGTATATGCACCTCTGACAAAATTTTTACTAATATAGTGGTGGGCTGGCCAGGTTCTGTTCATGATAGTAGGGTGAGTAGCATTATATATATATGGGTTCGGAAAGTACAAATGGTAAATCTGTAAGTCTTATGTTAAAGCAGCTAGTCAGAGTAGAGATTGTGGTATCGCTTGGTTTTACACAGACGTTTTAAGTAGTAACTGGATGCTGAATATAGCCATCATTGTTTACCGCACGATTTTCTATCGCTTACCTTGTTCTTCTCACGTAAGCGCCCATTTACCATGTGCACTTTCAGATTATGTATATTTATTACATAAAAGGCAATATAAAATATTTAATTTTTGCTACTGCAGGTTTTCCAAAATTGTGAAATCTTTAGGAAAGTATCCAATAACATAGACAGGAATAAATATTTTCCTACATTGGAGCATCATCTGGTGGGGGACTCAGCATATCCGTTGCTTGATTATATGATGACTCCATATAGGTAAGAAAAAATATATACGGCTTGTCCAAAAATACTCTTACTATATGTAAATTTTCTTATCAATCGTTAACTTCATTAAGTAGGAATTTTAGGAAGTCACTGTTTTTTGTTTTAAATAAAAAATTTAAAATTACATGTAATATAGTAAGTATTTTTGTACACAGGCTTGTATAAGAATANATAGTAGTAGAGATATGAGAGAGGAAACACAATGTGCATGTGAAGTTCAGTGTTCAGGTCATAGACCACAAGGTCGATGACCAGTACATCCGGCATGACATCATTTTTAAAAATAGAATCATATCTATTAATAGAATGCACATCTGGCATGACATCATTTTTAAAAATAGAATTATATCTAAAAATAGCCACAGGCATCATTTCTAAAAATAGAATGTTATATCATATCTATTAATAGAATGCATATCTGGCATGACATCATTTTTAAAAATAGAATCATATCTATTAATAGAATACACATCTGGCATGACATCATTTTAAAAATAGAATATTATATCATATCTATTAATAGAATGCACATCTGGCACTTCTAAAAATAGAATATGTGCACATGGAAGGGAGAGCTCATAGACGCTATAAAACAAGCAAGAAGCTAGCTAGGAACATTATTATGGTTGGTTCGGTGGAGATAAAACAGTGTTCTGTTTGTCGTAAAATAATTTGTAAACGTTATACTGATTTCTGGTTATTTAAACGTAGAGTGATAATTAGTTATTGTAATCAGTTGTGTCATCAACCAAGACCAGTACAGCTTTTTAGAATAACTGCTAAACAATATGTGGATGGCATATGTGAATGAAGTGGAAATAAAAGATCTCGAAAGTGGCGTTCGAAATTTACATGAGACTTTCTCAAATCTCAAGTTTGATACAGCTCATGAAGCAGTCTATGGAATGGGGAATTATTTTTCTCCAGAATACTGTGAAAAATTAGCTGAGGAGTAAGGGGAGGCGGTAGAATTATGTGAGGATTATTTAGAAGAACGTTGTACCATAGATGATCTTGTCACTGGTCTTATAGATTTAGGCATGATGGGGATGCTTCATAAAATTAAACATTTACTGGATAGCCATCTAGCGAATAAAATTCCTGAATGTGAATGGGAATCTGATGACCAAGAGGAAAGCGATGTAGAAATGACACCAATAAGCTAGTATTAATATAATGTTTAATAAATGGTTATTATAAAATAGTTTTATTATTCCATATAAATTATTTATATACCACCAAAATTAATCAGTATGTCTATAGAAACAACAATGAACGCTTCGCAATTAATAGTTCTTTTAAAAAGTTCGCTAATTATACAGCGACCTTATAATTCAAAAGAGGTGTTTATTTGCTTTGATTATAACGGAACGCGTAATGACAGCTGGCCCATTAATTGGAAAAGAATGAAACCTTAGCTGTTTTCTCGCGAGCAGAATATTTCAAAACGTCTTCAAAACTGGTTTAAAATAATTTCAATGTGACGTCAAAATTTCATAGCGCAAGAAAATAGGATTTTCAAACCATTTGGAACTGTCAAGATTGAAAATCTGTGTATCGTAAACTCACTTTATACTTGTTATAAAATTCGGTCGAATTATTCTGTTTGAATTATTTCTAAGCAGCAGCTTTGTGAAATGTGACTGCCAAATTATTTGAATTATGATTTTTTTCAACTCTTCAGAATGAGCAGAAAAGCTTTCCAGAAATTGAATGGAAAGATTAGAGTTATACATGTTTCATATATAGGGGGAGGCATACCTATACCTGCAGAAAAGAGGTTGATAATGCTGTTATGGTGGTTGGGCAAAGGTGAGACACTTTTATCAGTTTCTGATAAATTTAACGTTGCTTTGTCAGCCGTTCACAAAAGTAACACTCTTTTGTTGGATGAAATTATTGGTTTACAGCATAACTACATTACCTGGCCAAATCATAATGAAATAGATACTGTTACAAATGAGTTTTATCGAAGAGGTAATATACCAGGTTAGTATGTAGATACTAGGGAAAGCAGTGGTCTTAAAGACGTACATACCATAACGTTTAGTAAATTCTGTAAAAAAAATTAGTAATCTATCATTGGATATTTTTATCTTCTTGTTGTTAATTTGATATTCTATGATGTGAATTTAATTTTTAGGAGTGGTCGGGGCAATGGTTGTAGCTAACATAAACTTTAAAGCGCCGACGGAGCAGCAAGAGAGCTATATTGATAGAAAAATGCAGCACAGTATTAAGTTGCAGGGTATATGCACCTCTGACAAAATTTTTACTAGTATAGTGGTGGGCTGGCCAGGTTCTGTTTATGATGGTAGGGTGAGTAGCATTATATATATATGGGTTCGGAAAGTACAAATGGTAAATCTGTAAGTCTTATGTTAAAGCAGCTAGTCAGAGTAGAGATTGTGGTATCGCTTGGTTTTACACAGACGTTTTAAGTAGTAACTGGATGCTGAATATAGCCATCATTGTTTACCGCACGATTTTCTATCGCTTACCTTGTTCTTCTCACGTAAGCGCCCATTTACCATGTGCACTTTCAGAATATGTATATTTATTACATTAAAGGCAATATAAAATATTTAATTTTTGCTACTGCAGGTTTTCCAAAACTGTGAAATCTTTAGGAAAGTATCCAATAACATAGACAGGAACAAATATTTTCCTACATTGGAGCATCATCTGGTGGGGGACAATGAAGTTGAAGATAATAACATTAATGTATTTCATAATGTACAAAACGTTGTAAACAATTTTGCTGTAGAAAAAAGAAATCGAATTGCACAGATGTTGTAAAGAAACTCTTTTATCTACAGCAAAATTGGAATTGCTTTTACCTTTTATTGTAACTTTTAAAATTATAGAAAAATTTTAAATATTAGTACCACCTATACTTTCTCTCTTATATTCCATCCCATTTTCCTTCAGGTAGGTACATAAATAAAATATGCAATAGCTACGTAAAAACATATGACAACATATTTTATTCCTAATTTATTTATATCTACATAAAACATTCATAACTTCAGGAACCACGTTTTTATTACTTAGGACTACAAACTAAATACCTTCCATTTTTTAACAAAAAATATATCTAGTGTTTTAATTGCACAGAATACAGGGTGTCCCGTAAGTACATGCTCATATACATGTGATTTACGACGTCAAAGTAATGCGATCTAGCCAAACTCGGTTATTATCAACTTTTGGACAAAGATAAATTTGACCAGATTGCATTATTTTCATGTCTATCACCTGTTACTCTATGTACACATACTTACGGGACACACTGTATATTATTTTAATCTTTCTAATCACTTTCACTGTCGGTATCTCTCTTGCTTTTCTCACCAGAACGCTTTTTTTTATTAAGTAAAGCCATCACCTGAGCATGACGTTGCCTGCTTTCTTCTCTTAATAATTCAACCAATGTAATAAATTCCTCCTTGCGTTGTTCCAAATTTTCTTTGTGGATGTTTTTTATGACGTCAACCACTCGCTCCTTTTGGGGACGGCAACTTTTCTTAATTTCCATAAACCTGTTCGAGGTTGTAGGTGTTGAAGATTCACAACTTTCTCTGTCGCTCACAGTATGGGGCATCTTTGCTTTTTGTTTTTTTGTACTACATGGTGTTTCTTCACTTTTATTTTCCTTGTCACTTTTTTCATTGTCAGTCAATATTTCTGAATCTACAACTACAGGTGGACAAATTTTATGTTTGTCACCCAAAATTTCATTCATTTCAGTATAATATGGTGGTGTATCCACAGCTCCCTCACCAGTTAATTTTCGTTTTTGAATAAATTTCAAATATGACGTTTGCAAATTAGCAAATTTTTGTCGCACTTTTTCACGGCCATCTGTGCCTTTGCCTACGTAATATCCCATACTATTCATGTGGTCCGCAATTTTATGCCATATAACATTTTTTCCATTCTTTTTATCCATAAAATCTTTATCAAATTGTTTCCGTAGATCTAAAAGAACCAAAGTAGCGTCATGATCCTTTTGTGATTGTGTCTTAGAAGTTTTCCACAGTTCACAAGTTTGTGACCTATCTGCAATTGGAATATATGAGGAAGTCATTGGAGGTGCTGTAGACATGGCTGTGGTTGTTGCCGTTGAGGTGGCTGCATCCCACGAGACATTTTTCCCAAGCTCAGATATTTTAGTAGCTGTTCCTTCTGCCATCAAGCCGCAATCATTAAGTATGGTGCTCGACACAAAGGCTGAACTGGTAGTTCCTTAAATAAAATAGAACGCCTGTAAAATTAATAATTACTACCCTTTACAGCGCAAACTTACCATTGCTTTCTATTATTTCGCAAAGAATTTCATCTTTATCATTTCTTATTAACGTGCCATTACTGTTACATAAAAAACCTTTAAATACAAAGTGATTAAAGGTTTCCATTATTAATCTCGGACGAAATAAACAACATAACATAACCCAACAATTATTAAATGAAACGTCATAAACAAACGAGAGAACGCATGCGTCCATTTCGAAATCAAGATGAGATCCTGGTTCCAAACTGTTTGAACCAATTTCGATGTGACGTCACGGGTTCATCGCAAGAAAGCACTATTTTGAAACAGTTTCGAACCAGTTTTAAAAAAGTGATCGCGAGAAAATAGCCCTTATAGACATGATTATCTAGAAATGTTAAAATCTCCTATACCAACGAATAGTATCATTTACAAATTGCGAATAAGAAGAGGAAATGGTGTAATATAGGACTCTGATTGGCTGGAGATTTATAGTAAATCCCCCACTTCTAATAATAACACCATAAATAGTGAATGCAACAGAGGATACGAAGCAAATACCTTCCTGATATGGTATATAGCGATATGTTCTTCGTTGTTGCTGATTGTTACCAGTTTCCGAGAATTATGTCTGAAGAGCTGTGGTGTACGAGATGTATAACTGAAGATTTGATAAGTAAACACCAAAATGGTAAACCTTTGTACAATTTTACTGAAGAGGAGCTCAGAAATATTCCACTACATTATCTGATCGAAAATGTCCAACCCATGGAACTTTTATATGACTGGAACATACTTCCAGTACATTATACAGAAATGTTTGAGTTGCAAATACGACTGCCCTGCTTTGTACACTACAACCGTCCAGATTGGTCATCACATATAGATGGTCCACCACAACCACAGTCTAGATGCTCTCTTTGTAAATGGGGTTTACAAATATCTCAACAAATATTTTATAAAGCATTGAATAAATAAAGAACTTAAAAAATATATTTGATTTTTTCTAATTATACCCACTGAAAAATTTATTTAAGGAAGTAATAAAAACTGACAGAGTATATACAATGTTTATTATATATATTTACAATTTGAATAAACTTAAATCAAAATCCCAAACATTTTCATCCTGTTCCTGTTTATCCTCACTAAGCAACAGTTCAGCTGCCTCCAGCAAAGCATTCAAATTTCTTTCTGCTGTCACATCCACATGCCCCCATGCCAAAGTATGAACACCGTCAGCTTTAACATATCTTTAGTCGTCTGCTAAAGAAAGTGCCACTTTGTTCTTTAGTTCGGTGTAAAACAGCTACCATTTCATTCTCATATATTTTTTTCACAACTTGTTCAACGGAGGGGGATTTCACATTAAATATTGCGACTTTGTTCGAATCCTTCATTCTTTCTCAAATATTTAATTGAAAGTGATGGCTAATTGTTCAAACTTCGTTCTTGAATCTGAAGAAAACTGGGATCATTATAACTGTCCAACATATGACCCGTATCAAAATATTGATAGTAAATTAATAATCAGAACTTCGCATTGTGTCACCGGAAAATCAAAAAAGGTCAAAAGGGAATTTAAGATGGCTGAAAGAAAACCACTACAAAAATTGGAAAATGAGAGAAGGGCAAGAATTGCGGAAAGTAATTCTAAAACTTAAGGCTTTACTTCTATTGTACTTTATATTTTATATCAATAAATGTTTACTTTTGCTTACATATTTTTTAATATTTTCTCTGTATACTCCATATATAAGAATATTTTTGGGAAATTTAAACAATTACTTGTACAATCAACAAATGAATTTATTAAATTCACAACTATTGAATTTGGACATTTTATTAAGCAAGGTGTGCTACTTCATGCAGTTTGTAAAGTAATTGAATTGCCCCTGTAATTGTCCATTCAAATATTGTAGTAAATAAAAGTTCTCACAGATGGTGCCAGTAGTTCGGTAGACTGTAATGGTTTAATTTACATTTAAGTTTATAAATGTTAGATGTCCCGGCGTTGTACTTTTGTTTCTATAGCGAGATCATTTCCCTTTGAATTAGCACGCATATATTAGCACTGAATGTTTACAAATCAAATGAATTTGAATGTTAAATTTGGTTAAATAGGTATATTTTGAATTAAATATTCGGGACTGTAAAAATATTGTAATAAAAGAATAAAATATTCCTTTAGTTCATTTAACTATATAATTTATATACACCGTTGTATTTCTTTGTATAAGCTGTTGCTTATACTATGTTAAAGGGAACTTTAAGGGAATACAGTTGCAGATTTGAATATTTCTAAATATAGACATAATGCTAGTTTTGTCAGTTTGTTATATATTAAAGTGATGTTTTACAGTGCGTCTAATAAAAGACACTTTTTTTATTGGTAAATATTTTTTGTAACTACTAAAACTTGTAATCATTGATGTATTTAATAAAACAATTAATTTATAGTTACATTTTATTAAATATATTCAGTATAATTCGATTTATTTCATCATAAAAAATGCAGCCATTCACAAATACAAAATATAAAACATGTATTATTTATATAAATTTTAAATTCTGCTTTTACATAAAAGAATTACATTTTTTTAGAAGCAAAGAATATAGATAATACTATTTATTTAATAATTTTATTTGACAATTTTTACTTAAAACTACATATTATTATAATATGTAAAAAATTACATTTTTTAAAATGTACACAAAATAATTACATTTCAAAATATTGAGAAAATATGTATGGATAATAATTTGCTGAACTTCTCAACTTTTAATTAGTACTGAACATTTTCTTCAAAATTAAACAATGCGTATGATATAAATCTTATTCTTATAGTATCAAATATAAAACAACTATTGCTGATGTACATGATCATCTAAAACGTTATTTAAAAAGTATAAGAAATAATTATACAATTTCCAAAAGTCGGGGGACATTTCCCGCTATATTTATTATCCGGTCAATTGA